AACGTGTAATGTGGGCATTCGCAGTCATGCAGAAACATCCTACCCAACTGTGATCAAAGACTACATATTAAAACTGGGAATGACCAAATAATTGATTGAAGTGTGACTGATTGATCCAGAACCCCAATCAGCATCGAACATACAAGACGAATGAAGAAAATCCGTAGATAAAACAGATAAAGGACGGGAAAGTGTTGAACATGTAAAATGAATAAAGATGATAATATCTCATAATGAAACAAAAGATCAACTGAAAAAATTTAATAATAGCATCACAGATACTCCACGTGACACTAAATGTACAGGAGTAGCCTCAAAAAATGGACTGGTGGAAAAAAAGAACTGACCGTAAGTCCCCATTAGCAGTGGATGGGAAACAAACAGCAGTGTCCCACCCTAAAAGATTCCAAAAGCAAAGAAGCCATGTGTGGAGGGAAAGAACTGAAGATGGCAAACACTCCAATATGGAGGGAAGAAGCAGGAGGTGTTCCACGAAAATCCCTAAATATATGTGGAACACTGAAGAAAGGAGATGGAAGGTAAACATTAACTGTGGGAGAGTAGATAGGGTAAAACAAAGCTAAAAACTAGGTAGGGAAAATGGATAGGATTAACAGAGAAGCAAATGACATAAAATCAGGAAGAAAATCTGTGGATGGTAAGCTGAGGCAAAAAAAAAAGAATTAAAGTCTGTATAGGGTGAGGCGTGCAAGTATCCACTCTCAAGAGAGAGTCAAAAAGATCATCATGAAACAATGTCATGAGAAGGGGAATATAATGTGAAACATGTCTAAAAAATAAACCGAGACAGACCGAGCAGATTCTGCAGTAGAGGTCTGGAAGGCAATCCTTGATAAGGTGGAGGAAAACTGACAAAATATAGGTCTTCTGGAAATGGGTTCAGCCATTATAGAAGGAAGGTCAGAAATACTGGGAGTAGGTAGGGTCGACTCCGGCCCTCTGGTGGCCTCACAAACGAAATTAATGGTAAGAAGTATAAACTATAAAGAAAGACAAAAATGAAATAGTCGATATAGTGGAAATGTTAACATATTATATATGGAAATAAACACATGTACGTGGTTATTTGTTGAAGAAAATATATTTAACCTAATTATCGAGTAACCTGTAAATAGAACTATAGATAAACCGAAAACAACAAACACTTGTTAAGCCTAATCGAACAGTACAGAACAAAGGATATCACTAAGCACTAAAATAAAAATATTAACCTAACAATAAGTATGTAGAATATTGGGAGAAATTTGTATGTACCCTGGTTCAAGAGTTTCACAGGAACCAAGTGAATAAAAAGAAGGATAAAAGATAAATAATAATGAAATAGACGTGATGGTATAAAATTAAGTAAGTGTGTAGTAACAACAACATATGTACGAGTCGTGATATATGGAAGAAATGAAATATAGTTAAACTAAAGAGTGATATACCAGTAAGATGAATTACAGGTAATCCTAAACATGTTATTGACTGGGATAATGTAAAAATACTTAAACAAGTAACGGAAAAAGACGAACTAAATATAAGATAATCCTTAGAAATTGTTAAAAACAAATTGAATATAAATAGAGATTTAGGCCCAGGAGCCACGGAAGTAAACTTTTGGAAATCATTGTTGTAAATGGCGCCACTATAAAAACATGCTAATTATACACGTACATTAGTTTATAAAAACTTCAAGTGTACTTCGTGGTTTATTTTCCTGAAGATGGTGGAATTATTTCCACTGAAACATGTAGAGTTTTAAAGTTTCTTTATATTTATGAACCTTACAAATAAATATTGTGCAAGTAAAAAACACTGATTTCTCGTTTTATCATTTGTATTTAAATAAAGTTACAGATATCACTATTGTATAATAAAGAGTAAACTTGTTGAGAAAAATTAATACAAAGATACGGAAACAAATCGTTACAACGCGAGTACTGCCAAACGATTAGTGATGGTTCGGTAAAATTGAACGGAGGAGTCACATGCGTCAAGAGAGTGTCTCACTCTTATTGTTGTCGCATGATGATTTGCATGCCAGATGCATTTGAATCAGTAGATTCAAAGATGGGTGGGAGCTTCAAGGCTTGTGGCATACACATCTTTTTTTGGATATAGAGAGCAGCACTGAACGAGAATAGCTATTTATGTGAGAGGAGGTAATGTACTGTATCAGAAATAATGGTACATTCTGATTGAAACTTAGTTGAATGGATGGCAACTGCCTGTTGTAGAAACACAAGTGTAGAGGGCGACGTGTCGAAAGTCTTCCGCCTTTTGTCTTCTATCAAAGAATGGTACATTCCTCATGTCTGTTACTGTAAACAGCAGCACAGCTTCCTTTATTCATGTATACAGTTATCACTTGTAAAGTTTAGGTATACTTAACTACAGTGGCTTAGCTATATGTATAAAACTTACACAGTAAAAAGAATTTACAACAGCGTATATTATACCAAATACCTCACAGCACTAAATGTAACATTTAATGTACATCTTACGGTAGTTTCACACAAGATTTTGATGGACCCTTATAGAAAGAAATATTATACCAAATACCTCACAGCACTAAATGTAACATTTAATGTACATCTTACGGTAGTTTCACACAAGATTTTGATGGACCCTTGTTGAGCTTATAGAGAGAAATATTTTACCAAGTACCTCACAGCACTAAATGTAACATTTAATGTACATCTTACGGTAGTTTCACACAAGATTTTGATGGATCCTGTTGAGCTTATAGAGAGAAATATTTTACCAAAATTGTGATTCAAATTTAAACCACATCTTGAGATAATAGATTTTTTGTATACTGTTCTTTATTTCGTATTTTAGAACACCAATCAGCATGAATCAAAACTGATCCAAAAAGAATAGATCCCTCTTCAAGAAGAGCTACTACCAAACATTATCTTCTAAAGACTAAGAAATGATACTTTATCCTATCCAATTTGAACTATAACATCTGGCTGGGTTGCCATCTTTTCTTGAAAGAATGAGAAAATGATTTCAAAAAATATACACTAGTGTTATAAAAACAGTTCAGTTAAGTACCTTAAAACATCAAAAATTACCAGTATATAAATACGTTTTTTTTTCTCTTCTTACATAATTACTGATTGAATTAAAAACCTCTGCCTTCTTTATCCTCTTGCTGCATTCTGCCACAGAACCAACAGCATGATATCTGTTTGATTGTGTGCACTGTGCTAAAGAGGCTATGGTATATACTAATCTTCCTCCTCTATATCCCCACAAAGATATAGTTGCTTTGGATATGCATTCCATATCTTCATCAGGATAACATAATTTCAAAGAAGTGTTATGATACATTCTTCTACAACATTTATTTTACTGTTTGATAAAATTATCAATGATAATTGTTAAGAGTTGAGTAGGTCACATTAAAATAATTTTGAATATGCAGTTCAGCAAGTCACGTGGCAACCACAGTCGATATAAAGCTGCCGTAGAATGGCAAGTATCCCAACTATATTTTGACAATGTTTGGTATTTAATAGGTGGCACTGTAATACCACTCAAACTGATCTCTTTGAAAAAGGTATGTAATAACCCTTTTCAATTGAAAATATTCATACACTCAGATTATAACATTGTGTCCAGATAGGAGGTTTAAAATGTCTAAGATAGAGATACTTTTTGTTCGAAATGGCATTAGAAAACAACGGAATACTGATGAGCTTGGAGCACTAGGACTATCCAAATAGAGACCTGCAACAACTTGTACCCCAGCCATGGTAACCAAAGTGCAGCATCTTGTAACAGATGAGAATTAATGAACACAAAGATCAGTTGCATGAGCCATCTACATTTCAGGCAACAGTATGCAACAGAATCAAAAGTCACACAGGTACAGAAGTTGCTTTCATGATACATCTGCTCAACTGTTGCATGAAATGGGTAATTATGTTATTCTCTATGAAGATATATAGGTTGAGTAGCCAGATGCAGTCCTATGGATTTCTACACAATCGAACTGTTGAAATGGGTGCTACACTACCATCATCCTTATACACTAGTGGGATTTTGTAAACCTTGCTGGAAGGAATTGTGCTCTTTGGACCAGACATATTAGGACAGAGCCTACTGTGTTGGAAACAATGCTGTGGAGCTATTGTCATGATGCAAGGTTGTCAAATAATATATGACTGAACATGGTGACACTGGATGTAGCAATGTTGTGAGGCTCCAAAATAATTTTAATATATTGTACTCAACCCTCTGTAGAAAAGGTTTCTCTCTATATCATCTGAGAAAAATCGATTCGGTGAAAATTTAACCCAAATAAGTTTTGAGCATGAATGCTATAAAATATGGATTACACTAGATGAAAAAATTATGTAACTGAAAGCAGTAGACCTAAAAATGTTGTGCAAGTGATTGCTTTGTGCTACTAAAAGTTGAATGAATATGACATCACAAAACAAAGATTCTATTGTTTCAGTGGCCTTGATACTATCTAACAAAAAACACAACATTAAAAGAAAATTACTATAAAAAACAAGACTCATTCATCTTCTAATTTTTACCTAGCTTAATCATACAGTAGAGTAACCCTACTCCATCTTTCTGTCTTTATCTCTTCTAGCTTAATCATACAGTAGAGTAACACTACTCCATCTTTCTGTCTTTACCTCTCCTAGCTTAATCATACAGTATAGTAACACTACTCCATCTTTCTGTCTTTACCCCTCTCCTAGCTTAATCATACAGTACAATAACACTACTTCACATTGAATATATTGATTTGGAGATTGTACTTTTGTATCACAAAGTTAATAAAAAACACCAATATTTTCTAATACAAGTACTAAAGATGAAAACATGTTTCCTTTTATGGAAAACTTGAAACAGATACCTAAGTAAAATTTACAAAACGGAGAAAAATATGTTACAAAATTGTATGAGCAACCATTATAGAGAGGAGAGTGTTCTTTAGATTCCCCAGACCATTTTGTTACACATGAAGATGCTTATTTATAATAAAATTTTTATTCTGAATCACACATAGCTAAAGTGTAAAATTAATAAAGCATAAGAAAATGTATCTGAACCAAATTTCTACTGTCAATTGACATTAGACTAAACTTTATTTGATGCCATATTAAAATAACTGTTTGAAATTTTATACATTTTACTATAAAGAATGGTTATTTAGAAAAACCGAAACAATATATATATATGTTCACAACTGTCTTATTTACAAGACTAGGATGTTAAACTACTGGAACAAAGCTTTCATTTATAACAAATGAAATAAAATTAATTACAATATGCTCATGCTCCAAGGTTGTGAGATGAAAAATAATATTTCCACATTAACTTCATGTTTATTCTTTTTCATGTTTTAACTTTTGCTTTACTTTGAAGCACTGACTTAAAAAAAGTAGGATTAACAATTATTATGTTTAAGAAAACAGAATTATAGCCTTATACTAGGTCCAACTGCAAAGTAACCAAACACAATACAACCTATGACACATAAAACCGGTCATGATCACATAAACAGAAGAAAAACTTAACTCTTTACTTGCTGTTAATTTTTGACATTGTCTTTCTTTAAACAGAAATAGAAGAAACTATGTGAGAATGTTGAAAATTTTAGTAAAATGAACCTCCACTGGTTTGATGAGTGGTTAACACTGAAGTTGGTGGTTTACTTGATGTGAATTAACACCTTCAATCTAGTCTTTATGTTGTTTAGGGAATGTTAATGCATCATCATGAAGTCTAAAAAAAATCTTGCTTTGACAATAATTGTTCTATATACAAGACAGGAATCAGTAGAAATCTTCATAAAATAATCATACAACAGATTTTTATCATCATCACATAAGCTGCCAAGAAAGTCAGTGAGCAGACTGTGTGGAATATTTTCATAAAAATCACAGTCTTATTTTCAGACATCTGTAACTACGAAGTAGCTGTCATACTGACAAGCCCATTCTAGGTTTCAAATATGAAAATTCAAAATTCTGACCAACGATATAAAGTAAACACGCACAAGTACTGGCTGTTTTTAGTTCTGTTCAAAGCATTACTTTAGAAATAAAATTACAGCATACGGACAAAACTTGATGGAAATAACCCGCGTCTCTGAGGTTCTCCTTCAATCATCCCTTCCATCCACTCTTCATCCTCTGTAGTCTCATGAATTATCACAATAACCTCTCCTACTTGAAAAGAGAGTTCATCTTCTCTGTCTGCTTCACAATCATACAGGGCTCGACAGCGATACTTTGTGCTTTCATGACGCTGGAATAATCAAATATACTTCACTTTAAAAACATAAAATCTGATATATGTTAAAGTTTACTTTATGTTATGTTTTTAAAGTGAACTTTAACATATATCGGTGTTATGTTTTTAAAGTGAACTTTAACATATATCAGATGTTATGTTTTTAAAGTGAACTTTAACATATATCAGATGTTATGTTTTTCTGATATATGTTAAAGTTCACTTTAAAAACATAACATCTGAGATATGTTAAAGTTCACTTTAAAAACATAACATCTGAGATATGTTAAAGTTCACTTTAAAAACATAACATCTGAGATATGTTAAAGTTCACTTTAAAAACATAACATCTGAGATATGTTAAAGTTCAATTAAAAACATAACATCTGAGATATGTTAAAGTTCACTTTAAAAACATAACATCTGAGATATGTTAAAGTTCACTTTAAAAACATAACATCTGATATATGTTAAAGTTCACTTTAAAAACATAACATCCGATAGATGTTAAAGTTCACTTTAAAAACATAACATCTGATATGTGTTAAAGTTTACTTTAAAAATATAACATCCGATATATGTTAAAGTTTACTTTAAAAACATAATATCCGATATATGTTAAAGTTTACTTTAAAAACATAATATCCGATATATGTTAAAGTTTACTTTAAAAACATAATATCCGATATATGTTAAAGTTTACTTTAAAAACATAATATCCGATATATGTTATAGTGACCCTATATTGGTTTTAAGACTTATAACGTACATAAACTAACATGTAAAATTATACACAAACTTTTTTCTACATTAAAATACTTTTATTTGTGAACTTTCATGCCTCTTACCAGATCCTTTATCAGGCAATGATGTTCCGAGTAATAAAAAAAAACTTTCTGTGGAACACTGCTTTAAAATAGGTATGTAGGCAACGATTGTAACAATAACTGACATCTGGTATTAAAGTTACTAACCATATATAAATTATGATGAAAATAGAAGATAAGTCGATTACTTCAATATAACAAACATAAGGAAAACACAACTGTAGGTATTATATAGAGAAATAAAAATAAATAAATTTTTCATATTTCAAATAATACATTGTGAAATTAAAAGTTAAATTATACATTGAAACCACAATAACTAACATGTTTTAGGTGTTTGATAAATGGTGTCCATGCAGTATTGAGTATTTGTTGGCCATTATTTTGATTAATACCCACTGGTAGTACACTTTCTTGTGCTTGGGTGGCAATAGCTTCTTTGATTTTTCTCCATTTGGTGTTTTCTTCTTTTTCCATTATTCTGTCATTTTTTAGATCTATTATATGATCATTTTCCTGAAAATGAAAAGCTATAGAAGATGTGTTTATAGCATGTTCAGGAGAATGACCATGTAATAGACCTACAAAATCCAAAAATAATATGTATTATTTGAAGTATGAAAAATTTATTTATTTTTATTTCTCTATATAATACCTATAATTGTGTTTTCCTTATGTTTGTTATATTGAAGTAATCGACTTATCTTCTATATTCATCATAATTTATATATGGTTAGTAACTTTTATACCAGATGTCAGTTATTGTTACAATCGTTGCCTACATACCTATTTTAAAGCAGTGTTCCACAGAATTTTTTTTTTTTATTACTCGGAACATCATTGCCCGATGAAGGCTCTGGTAACAGGTATACAAATAAATGTATTTTAAAGTACAGAAAAGTCCTTGTATAATTGTATGACCCTATATTTCATGCTTATAATAAAAAACAATTTTTGTTGAGCAAAATACATCTCTGAATACTTGTAAAAGTTAAAAAAAAAACTTCTTAAAAATTGGTTAACTCCTTTCTTATGTTACAAATACAGTACCATAGTTCCATTAATTTAAAAAAAACACATACTTTTCTAGGTGGAGGAACAGGTACAGCATTTTCTGCATCTGAAGCCAGTGACGACAAACTTTCTGACGATTGTCCATTAATTAGTTTCTGTTGTAACTCATTACTGAACCCTAGACACAAAGCAATAACAAAAACTGTAACAAAAACTGCTTACAATGACAAGTAAATTGTAGGGAACTTCTGATATTTGCTTTTCTCTGAGAATGCTATTACTAGACTCAAAGACACGTGCTTAAGAGTTAACAAATGTTGTTTTTAAGTGTGTTTGAACATTTAGGACTAATAATAGCTTAATCAGTTGATAAAAAGACTTGTTAGCTGGGTGTAGATGCCTTAAAAATCTATAAAGCAAGCATTGTGAATGTGCAGCAATATGCCCTTAACAAACTATACAATAGGTGAATTAAAATTCTTTTAAGATATTATACAGTAGGTGAGCTGACATGGCTTTAGATACTATACAGCAGATACTACAAAACAGGTTAATTAACAACACTATACCTATATAGAAATTAATCTGGCATGAAGACTGGATAACTTCACTCTTTGATTAACCTGGCACATAGTATGGAATAGCTCACATTCAGGTTGAAACTAACTCAGTAACTTGGCATGAATAGGGGAGAAGTCCACTCTTGGGTGAAACTAACTCAATAACTTGGCATGAATAGTGGAATAGTTCACACTCAGGTTAAACCTAGCTCTGTAACTCAGCATGATGAGTGGAATAGTTTACACTCAGGTTAAATCTGGCTCTGTAACTCAGCATGAAGAGTGGAATAGTTTACACTCAGGTTAAACCTAGCTCTGGAACTCAGCATGAAGAGTGGAATAGTTCACATTCAGGTTAAACCTAGCTCTGTAACTTAGCATGAAGAGTGGAATAGTTTACACTCAGGTTAAATCTGGCTCTGTAACTTAGCATGAAGAGTGGAATAGTTCACACTCAGGTTAAACCTAGCTCTGTAACTCAGCATGAAGAGTGGAATAGTTTGCACTCAGGTTAAACCTAGCTCTGTAACTCACCGTGAATAGTGCAATAGTTTACATTCAGGTTAAACCTAGCTCTGTAAATCAGCATGAATAGTGGAATAGTTCACATTCAGGTTAAACCTAGCTCTGTAACTCAGCATGAAGAGTGGAATAGTTTACACTCAGGTTAAACCTAGCTCTGTAACTCAGCATGAAGAGTAACTTAGTGAAATAGTTTACACTCAGGTTAAACCTAGCTCTGTAACTTAGTGGAATAGTTTACACTCAGGTTAAATCTGGCTCTGTAACTCAGCATGAAGAGTGGAATAGTTTACACTCAGGTTAAACCTAGCTCTGTAACTTAGCATGAAGATTGGAATAGTTTACACTCAGGTTAAACCTAGCTCTGTAACTCAGCATGAATAGTGCAATAGTTTACGCTCAGGTTAAACCTAGCTCTGTAACTTAGTGGAATAGTTTACACTCAGGTTAAACCTAGCTCTGTAACTCAGCATGAAGAGTGGAATGGTTCACACTCAGGTTGAGATTTACTCAGATAACTGACATGAAAAGGGGATAAGTCCACTCTTGAGTGAAACTAACTCAGTAACCTAGCATAAAGAGGTGATAAGTCTACTCTTGAGTGAAACTAACTCGGTAACCTGGCATGAAGGTGAAACTAGCTCAGCTGATCTTACTTATTGACCAAAATTTACATCACACTACAAAATATTTTATTTAAAAAGTTTGTTTTCAACAGTCAAGAAAGATAGACAAGGGAAAAGAAGTCTTAACTTCTGCTTTCTAGAAATACAGGTGAAAAGTCTCTTCTTAAGACTAGTGGTTTGTAATAAATTCATAGACTTACGGATACATTTTGATTTTACTCACCAGGTGGTGCTGGAGGAGGGTGACATTTTGGTCTTTGAAGAGTACCGTGGACTTGCGACGGTGGTTTTTCTGATGCACTGTTTTGAAACCATAATGACAGAGAAATGTTGATATATGTATAATTATATATCTTTCACAATATCACACAAAAGTAACAGAAAATTACAATTATATTTTATCTAATCTAAATTGTTCACCTTTTCAACATGAAATATTACAGCATTTCAGGAGGAATAAATTATAAAAGGTCTGCAGAGCTTATTTATGTATATCTTTAGACGACATTCATCTGTTCATCATGAGAAACTATGGAAAATATGAAAGTTCTGAGATACCAAACCTGCATATTTTTAAAAGTTTCCTTAAAGTTTGTTTTTCATCATGCAAAAACTTTGGTGTTTTGGGAAGTTCTACACAAGAAAGAATTCGGAAAACATAACCATGTGTCCTTCTAAAAACTCCTTACATGATTCTCACCTTTTCCTCATAAGAAACTGTGATGTTTTGGGATGTACAACTTTAGCAGCTGCTGCAAAATGTATAAAGATTGCAGAAACGTTAGCAAATTTCAAATTTGATACAATATTTTCTAAACTTCTTAAATATAACAAAGCTGTAACAAATATTTTTACTTTCAACTAAATATGGTAACAAAATTAAGTCTATGTCTGATAAGACAGTATAAAAGTGGAAGAAAGTGTTCATACACACTGTATGGCACTACCAATACTACTTCATCATTTAAAGTGAAATATCTGACCAACAAACATTTAAACAGTAGGATGTTTCTATCTGTGCTGTTTCTTCCTTCAAAGTGGAAGATCTGACCAACAAACATTTAAACAGTAGGATGTTTCTATCTGTGCTGTTTCTTCCTTCAAAGTAGAAGATCTGACAAACAAACATTTAAAGAGTAGGATGTTTCTATCTGGGCTGTTTCTTACTTCAAAGTGGAAGATCTGACAAACAAACATTTAAAGAGTAGGATGTTTCTATCTGTGCTGTTTCTTCCTTCCAAGTAGAAGATCTGACTAACAAACATTTAAACATTAGGATGTTTCTATCTGTGCTGTTTCTTCCTTCCAATTAGAAGATCTGACTAACAAACATTAATACACTAGCATGGTTTTATTTGTGTTGCTTCTTCCTTCAAAGTAGAAGATCTGATCAACAAACATTTAAACAGTAGGATGTTTCTATCTGTGCTGTTTCTTCCTTCCAATTAGAAGATCTGACTAACAAACATTAATACACTAGCACGGTTTTATTTGTGTTGCTTCTTCCTTCAAAGTAGAAGATCTGACCAACAAACATTAATACACTAGCATGGTTTTATTTGTATTGCTTTTTCCTTCAAAGTAGAAGATGTGACTAACAAACATTAATACACTAGCATGGTTTTATTTGTGTTGCTTCTTCCTTCAAAGCAGATCTGAGATGTAATGTATTTCACAGTGTACTGTCATGACAATATATTGTTCTTTGTTGTATTTAAGGTAACCTGATTGAGAAGATGAAGACGGGTTCAATGACACTGGACTTTAGAAAATGAACCCTATTGCTGTATAATGTTCACACAAACAAAGTAAAATTCAACCTTTTGGACATGTGCACCACAACAAGGGCAACTGCTGCAGCCATTTTTGATGAGAAGCTTTCATCTTATGACATTCCATTGGAAAACTGTGTGGCATTTGGTGTGGATAACACAAGTGTCAATCTCAGTAAAAGGAATTCAATTAAATCAAGAATGATAAAGCAGGCCCACACAACTTAGCCTGTAAGACATTGGATGCCTTTCAATCAGTGGTAAAGTTTAATGTGGACAACTTCTGCATAGACATGTTTGACAAGTCTACAAATAGAAAGACAGCATAACTTAATTTTTGTGATGTTGAGTACAGGAAAACTGTAAAGTTAAGTTCAAAATATTGATATATTACTTAAGTTTTGTGATGTTGAGTACAGGGATACTGTAAAGCTAAGTTTGGAATATTGATCTATTACTTAATTTTTGTGATGTTGAGTACAGGGATACTGTAAAGCTAAGTTTGGAATATTGATCTATTACTTAATTTTTGTGATGTTGAGTACAAGGATACTGTAAAGTTAAGTTTGGAATATTGATCTATTCCCCACTCAAATGCTCGAGAAGAAAGAGTCTTCAGCATGATAAGAAAGAACAAAACTGATTTTTGGAGAAGTTTGTCATTGGATGGTACACTATTTTCAAAAAGACCCTGCTACAAGTGGGAACCCACTAAGGAGGTTTCGACAAAAACAAAATGTGCATAAAAAAAATTAACCATTACCATGAAGATATATTGTTGTCTTTCCAATTAGTGGTGTTGATTAGTTATGTAAAATACAGTAGTTGTGCAATAAGTGGAGTTGTTTTATTTCTTTATTAATTCATTCACTGAATTCTAAATGACTTCTAAGTATATGATTAGTAAGTGTAATTGCTTTATTTCTTTATTATTTCATTCACTGAATTCTAAATGACTTCTAAATATATGATTAGTATGTGGAATTGTTTTATTTCTTTATTATTTCATTCACTGAATTCTAAATGACTTCTAAATATATGATTGGTAAGTGTAATTGTTTTATTTCTTTATTATTTCATTCACTGAATTCTAAATATATGATTAGTAAGTGTAATTGTTTTATTTCTTTATTATTTCATTCACTGAATTCTAAATGACTTCTAAATATATGATTGGTAAGTGTAATTGTTTTATTTCTTTATTATTTCATTCACTGA